ATAAATGTAAACTGTTTTTTAATCATTCAGAAATCTGTGATCATCCTCTGTATATTTATCCTTAATTAATATATAATATTGATATTAAATAAGTTGATTTAAGAATAATTTATATTAAATATACTATTTTTATTATTAAATAACTTAATAATAAAAGATTTAAATAATGATTAAATAATATATGATTATTTAATATTTAGAATTTAAATCAATTATGAAATGATAAATATTAAATAATTTAAGACTATAATAAAAGGTTAAATAAATTCTTTAAATGATCAAATAATCAGATTAAAGTTGAAGCTTCTATACTATTATTATTAGAAAAAAAGAAAGTAAAAAAAGCATACTAGTTAATTAAAAAAGATATAGTAACATGAGCAAGTGAATAATTTCTATTAAAATCTAAGAAAGTTAAAATTGAGTGGCTAAATTAAGATCTTTTCATAACTTTCTTCTGAGGATTTAATAAGAATGTTTTGATAATTAAAATAAAATAATAACTCTTTAAATGCTATATAATCTAAACTTAGATAAGATTAAAATAATCTGCTTTAGTAAGAATGTTAGCTTTATTATTGTAGAAATCTCTAAAATATCCTTTTACTTTGACTGGTTATACTGATAGTTGTAGATCCTTTAGTACATACTGTATTATTATCTATATATTGTAGTTGAAAATTTTTTTTTAGTTCTAATCATAATGACTTTTTTGATAATAAACTTATTAAAACTATTGATTACTACTTGACTATTTAAGAAGATAGTAGGAAAGGAATGTGAAGAATAAATAATAATTGCTGAAAATATTATGAAAGTTCAACTCAGATTAAAAATAGGAAATTAAGAACTAAGATAAAGAATGAATATTAATTCAAAGAATTATTAATATAAAATAAAAGTGTTAATAAATTAGTTATATATTTTGATATCTTAATAAACTCCTTTTGATAAGATTTATTTAAAATACATTTTATAATCAGATTTTCATTTTTATTTTTGCTATTATAGGAAGTAAAGATGGTACTGCAACTAGTTACAACTATATAATACTTATTTATTACTGATTGCAACTAGTTGTAACTCAATTTTTATTAATATTGTAGCTAATTGCAACCATGTAATACTTATTTATTATTAGTTGTAACTAGTTGCAGTATTATCTTTAATTGAGAGAAAGTGAAGAATAGGAAATATTATTTAGCTAATAAAGAGAAGATTGTATAATAATTAACTTAATATTAATCTGATATATATATAATGTAATAGTATTTTCTAATGTTAGTTTCATAATATAGTTCATCTTGATAGGGTGAGGTTTACATTTTTCTAAAATTATAGCTGAGTTAACATTATATATCTGAATACATATAGTTAGAATAAAGCCACATATTTTTTTATAAGTATTAAAACTATACTAGTTGTTTAGCTTGTAATCTTTACAGTGGGTAATAGATTATTATTAAGAAAAGTATTAAGATTTTGATAAGAATCTAATTTGATAAAATGTTGAATAATAAGTTATTGTTATTAGTTCTAATTTTTTGATTATTCATTTAATGATAGTCAAAACTTGATAAGTATTATAAATAGTCATATATTCTCTCTTACTTATATCGTCTAATTTAATGTTTATACTAGTATAATTAATTGTATAACTATTATTTCTGCTATTTAATTTAAACAAGAGTTTAATCTTTTTATTATTTAGTTTATTTAGAACTATACTAGCTAAGTAAGAATAAAAATTAGATATATTATATCTTTTGTTAGAAATGCTATTGTAATAATCTCAATTATTAATTTTATTTTAATTAAACAAAAATCTTCTATCTTTGTCTAAAAATTGATCTAAATAAACAAATTATATTTGCTTAAAAATGTAATGATATTTCTCAAGAATATCAGAAAAATAAAAGAATTCAAAGAAATTAATCTATTCTTAATAACATTTTTCAAATTCTGATAAATGTTTAATAATATATTTGTATTTCTATATTTGAATAATTCTAAGAGTAAATCCAATAATGCTTTTATAAGATTTATTATTAAAGGATTTGTTTTAGTATATTAAGGGAGAAGTATAGAATGAGTATTTCAACTGTAATTAGAACAGTCTGATTTTAGAGACTGTATTATATAAGAAAGTGAAATTAAATTAATATAGAAATGCAGTAGATAAAATTTCAATTATTGAGTTCAGACATCATGAAAGTTGTAAAAAATACTATCTTTGACAAATAATTAGGTAAAGTTATAGTGAAAGAGATCTTTTATTTAAACAATTTTTTAATAAGTGCTAAAATTGAATGATAATCTTTAAAAGAAAGAAAGGTATTTTTGAAATAATATTTTAAAAAAGAAAATAGTATTATATTAAAAATGTAAATTAATTATTTATCTATGAATAGTTTCACTTTTATAGTTATTATATATATTATTATTATTTCTTTGACTTGTGATTTTACAAATAATGATAAATTACAAATATTAATCTATACTCTTAAAAATCAAATATAACCTTACTTAGATTTCAAATTGATTATATTTGTGTCAAATTTTATAGAAATAGAAGAGAAAGAAGTAACTGTATTGGTTAGAAATTATGATTTTATTTTATTAATAGCAGCTTGAGTGATAGAGTAAAATTCATTAGTCACTTTTAAAATATTCTCTAAATCTTCTTTTGAGTGAGCAAACCAGTTTAAATCATCTATGTATCCTAATATAGAGATTTGTACTAAAATTAAAGAGGTTATAAGCTATCTATTTCACATAGTAAGAGATCAAAGTATATATACTAGAATAGTGAAGATATAGTATAACTCAGATTATTTTTTTTTATCATTCCTGATCTGACTATAGGCTTGAGTAATTTATCAATAAGAATCTCAATATATGGTCATTAAATTATGATAGATTCTTCTACTTATCATTATCATAAAGACTTTTAACCTTATATTAATATATTTGATAACTAGTCTAATAGGTGTCATATTTATATAAGACCACATTTATAAGCTATAATTAGACTCATACTTAGTAATTGAGCATTGTTAGTTATTTAGTTGTATTACTAGATAGAGAGGTTAGACAAGAAAGGTACTCTATTTTTGGTTTAAGAAATGTATTAAGTTTACTATACCATCAAATAACTTAAGAATCAAATCTAACCTTTTCTTTTAACATTAGGTCTAAATACATGATGGCTGAAGACAGTGCAAGATCAACTAACTAAAACTTATAACTAAGTGTTATTGCTTTATATGTCTACTATTAGATGCTATTTGCAGGCTAACTCTAAGTAGATGATACAGTACTTACTATTACAGGCCAGCCTCTATTGCACTATTAGTTCCACTTATTTATTATGATTCTAAATAGATCTATTAACTATAACATTTACCTATTACTGGAAAGGCTTGAGATACAGAAATGTTATATATAGATAGCTTCAAGAATTATTATATTCTACAAATTCGTGATCTATTTACATACATGATTTGCATGTATCTCATAAAATTCATTTCTAAAATTAAACCAGTAAAAATCTGCAGTAAATTAATATTATGATATGCATTTAGCTAATGCTAAACTGGGATTTATTATAGTGTAACCTACAATAGAAACTCACATCTTACAATTTGAGCCAGGATTACCAATTCTTTAGTATAACTCAGATTAAAATTTATATAAAGTTTATATATAAATTCTGATAAAAATTACATATTATAAGAGATTTTAAAATTTATTATTTTTATATTTCAGTTTATAAGCTAATCAATAATTAGATTTAGATGATCTTGGTATAATTAGAATTATCCTAATGAGTAGAATCTAATAATAGTTATATCTTATTTCTAGTATTAATATTAACTAAGTTATCATAAAAAATGCATTTTACTATATATTATTTGTGAGTTAAATGAGAGATGTTAAGGATCTTGTTAATAATACTCTTTTATTAATATAATAAGTTTATTACTAAAATATTAAAATATTCTCATTTTCCTTTACTAAAAAGGTAATAAGATTGAATAAAAAATATAAAAATATTTATATATATTATAGATACCTATTAAAACTTTCTCAAAATAATTTTATCATATATATTTCTATATTTTTAATATAGTTTTAATAGTTTTAGCTTTCATTATATCAAAATAATTTTATCATATTCTTTATTATAATTTTAATATAGTTTTATCTAAGTTTCAATTATTATTAAGAGTTTTATTTCTTATTTCTAATATATGTTAAATAATTAATAAAATAAATTAAACTAAATATATTTAATAGAAAGAAGTTGACAGATTTTACAGGTAATAAAATTGATATAAAAATTAAATTGACTTTTACATTATTATAAAATTAACTAATTGATCTACATAAAAATTTTTTAAAAAATTATATACTTAGCAAAAACTCTGAATTTTGGTGTCAGCAGTAAATTATGCTAAATCTATTAGAAATCTGTAATACAATAGACCATTAAAGGTATAATAAAGAAGAATTTTATATTAAATCGCAAACATATGTTTGTACTAGAACATAATAAAGGACTATATTTGGCCGATGATAGTTTTTTAAATCTGGTTAAAATTTCTGACAGATAGATATAATTACTGCAGATATTTTACAGAACTAACACATGAATTTATAACGCTATCAAAAGAAAAAACAGTGGATTAAATCTAGTTTAGGAAAAATTTGGTGTTCGGATGGGTCTAAAGATCCTTCTAAAATTTTTTTTTTATTTTTTTTTATTAAGATTAATAACCGGAATAAAAAGATTATATATTTAAACCAACTCGCCAATTATATTGAATTATTTATTGCATCATTGCATAATTATTACAGTTATTTCGAAATATTATTGTAATCAATAATCAATAATAGTTATTTATTTATTCATTATCTTCAGAAGATATCTCTACGCTAATTTCATTGAGATCCAATTCGTTTACATAATTGCGTCAGCTTGCTGATGGAATAGATAACTAATAGGTGAGTTGGTCAAGCTTCTTGACTTTTGCTAAAATATCTTCACAATAGGATGGGTTTTTTTGATCTTGAACTGCCATCAAATATTTGACATGGATTCTTAAACTTTCAGTAATGAAGGTTTCAAGAGACTTGAGTGAAGACGGAAACTTCTTGAATTCAAGATAGTCACTAGCATCAAGATATTTGTTGAGTTTTTGCTTCCAGACTTTACTAGCAATAAACTGTTTGATATTTTCATTAGTCGGATTGCTGTAAAAAAAAATAAAGTTTCAATTTTTATTTTTATATAAATAAATAAATATAAATATTAATATATTACCAGTTTTTTACAAGTAAATCTTTAGCAAGAGATGCTATATCTTTGTTGTAAGTATGTCGAAAATTATCAAAGTATTCGCATGTTTTTTTATATAACGTCTTGAATTCTTTAGATATAGTATCTATTGATGGAATAATCTTTATAATAAGTGTTTCACGTATTCTTTTAGTAGGATTTCACGTACGTAAAAATAAGAGTTTGCATTGTTCTATAACTAGATTTGTCAAGGTTTCTTTATTTATTGACTCTGAAATATCAGCTTTAGTCTAATAATATATTATGTAGTTTAGAAATAAAACTGAAATTAATAGTTTGCAATTAAATAACATAGAATAAACCTTATATGGTGAAAAATGTGTTATAGACGGACTTTGAGCTTGAGCAATTAAATCTGGCCATGTATATAACCAATTGACTAATGATTTCTTATCTGGAAAAAATAACTCTTGTGAATCGATACCAAATTCTTAAGTAGTCCTGTTATAAGAATCAACCTGTAAGTTAGTTGAAGAATATGAAGCTGATCTACCACTTAATGGCATGGCAGTTTTTTGTGACCAATTTCTATATTGCTGATGTCTTTCAGATGTGGTAGAATTCTTAAAAATTTCACTTTCTGT